AAATCGACAGATGAAGGTGGTTTGCACAGTTTACACAAATGAGGGCGGTTTTCATATGATCACTCCTCTATATATATATATATATATATATATATATGTGTGTGTGTGTGTGTGTGTGTGTGTGTGTGTATTAGTCTTGATGTCTGGCAAGCGGCTTTAATTTCTTAACCTAACTCGGTGAGAAATGACTATATTACCCATGACGGGATATATAACACTTGTCGTTCAAACGAGAACAATAACTATTTAAGAAAACAAGAAAAAGTTATAATGTACAAAATCACATAACGTCAAAAAAATGGAAGTGGACGACTTTTTATCAACCTATATGATTTTGTACGTCGACTTTTTATCAACCTATATGATTTTGTACGTGGATATATGTATATTGTGTGTGTGAATCATGTATGATTTTGTACATGAATATATATATATATATATATATATATATATATATATATATCAATCATGTATGATTTTGTACATTAACGATTTTTTTTTTGTTTTCTTAATTAGTTAGCGTTCTCGTTTGAACCTGACCCTATATGTATCTATCTATGGTGGGTGGGTGTGTGTGTGTATGATTGAATTGATGTGGTGATGGAAATGCATGGTGCAGGTGGGTAGCTGAAGAAGACACCATAATCAACTTCCCAACAGTAAGAATGAAGAAGAAGATGCCAATCTGGGTGAAAAGAGATGTACATCAATGATGTTATGATTGACCATATAGGTAACATCATATCCATCGACCCACATGCATCTATGCCGGAAGATTGAATTTTCATTTCATTTCATGGGCCCTTTTGTCTAACTAAAGACAAAAATCGAAGAACCATATATACGCATGTGCATGGGTGCATGCATGGCCATCGTCATCACATGATCATATGATGTTGAAATATTTGTCCCATCTTCCAACTTCGATAATTCATTACACACTACACATGCATGCATACATGTTAAATAATAAATCGGATGCATGCATGTATGGATGGAATCAGCTAGTATATATGAACCCTTTAATTATGTGAACTTAATTAATTAGGGTTAATCTTGCATAGTAATTAGGGGTTTTTGTTAATTACCTAGAAATCAGAGGTAGCTAGCTAGTAATGTATGATGTTTTTGTTTAATTATCGCATACTTTACATGTATAAAGAATGTAGATAGATTTATCTATCTGCAAGGATTTAGTATTTAAGAAGACACATTGTTTGTTGAATCTGCTAAATTTGTTGAAAAGAGAATGCAACTGGCAATTCTCGAGCTGGTTTATATTACCATTCAATCTCGAGAGCATTATATATGAGAAACAAATCAGGTATTTGAACACCCAAAACCATCGGTGCTAGCTTGTCATGGAATTAACACTACATAACAAAGACTTCATTGACGGATTTTTCCAACAGTAATTACTGACAAATTTGGGGTGGATCACCGACGAATTATCGATAGATTTCTCCTTCGGTGATTGAAAATCCACCGGTAATTACGATCGCGGGCCATACTTTCGACGGTGATAAAATCTGTTGGTGATGGTTTCTTCCAGCAAGAAAAGACGAATTTTTCCGTCGGTGAAACCTCTTTATTTTGCAGTGTAAGACCATTTAAACAATTGAAGAAACTTCAGACGTATGAGGGTTCGAGTGTATACATTATTCTTATTTTTTAAAAGTATATAATATTTATATACAACAAATAGAACAGATAAACTTACACATCCTTCTCATCTTTGATAAAGTTTGAACCTTTGACCTCCTAGAAGGTCAATGACTCGCATACCGTTAGGTCAAAGGCCTTTTGATGGCATACTTGGAGGGTTGCTAGTTACAAACACAAACATCTTATGGTGTTTACCACAATCGACAACTGTCAAATATTGTCGTATTTATTTTAAAAAACCACTAATTTTCAAATAAAAGATAAATTATGATGACAAATAAAGTGTGGTTTTTTAATTTAGTTTATGTTTTTAATGTAAGCAGAAATGATTATGTTTTTTGAGACATTAGTTGGCCCATTTAAAAGGCAAATCACTATTAGGATTAATGCTTGATCAAAACTTTGATATGGATTGATGGGGTTATGTGTCATAAACCTACAAGTGTCCCCCCCAATTCATAGTACAAGTTATGTCTTTTCCAATTTAGACATAATTAAAGCTTTGTTTTATGAAAATTTAAGGGTAAATTAGATAAAAATGTAACATACTTTAACTTGATTTTTATTTTGGGTAATGTATTTTTAAAACTTTTATTTTGGTACTTAAAATGTAAACTTTTGAACATTGAAGTACCCAGATAACCGGTTGAATACTAATTTTAGATTAAAAAAATTCATGTCACTAATCACGTCAATAAATAATATTGAGTTGGATATTACATCACTTGCCACATCAGCATGATAACCGGTTAATGTTTCAATTAGTTATCCGGGTACTTAAATGTTTAAAACTTTACATCTTAGGTATCAAAATGGAAGTTTTGAAAGTATGCTGCCTAAAATATGAATCAAGTTAAAGTACGTTACTTTTTCATGCAATTGTCCTATCGAAAATGATTAAGTGGTTCCTTTTGTAAAAACAAAAATAAAATGAGATGTATATTATTTATTTTTGTATTTGTAGAAGAAGTATCGTGTGAGAATAACAGTTAATGTGAAGAACATAAGAAGTGATTTGAATCATTGATTATTTTCAATCTCATCCTCATCTTATGAATCGTGCTTCTCACGGGAATTGATCTGGTGCATCTCATTAGTGTTGATCATCAATTATGATTGATCCAATAGTGAATATCACTTCTTACCATTTTCACCATAACTTCCATTCTCATCGGAACCCAACCATGTATTTGTTTTCATCTCATTTCTAACCAATAAATTTTCTTTTATATCGGTCTTAAAAGTAATTATAATGTTCTTATAGCCTCTGGCATGCAGCTCAATTGGCAAAAGGGTGAGACGACTTTGTCCAAATATCCAAGATAGATCCCCGTTCGATCCCAGGCTTCCCGCTAGCCTTAATCACAAAGTGAGCGAAAAAACTCTCAGATTAATGTCCTTAGAAACTGGTTCCATGTGGGTGCGTTTGGTGCGCAGACAGGACTGGACAGGACAGGACGAGACAGGACAGGACAGGACAACTGTTCAGCGTTTGGTAAGACAGGACATGACAGAACTGGTTAAATTGACCAATTTACCCCCCAGTGAGCTGTTTAGTGTTTTTTCACTACGAAATGCATTCTGGTAACACTGGTCCTACTACCACTACAACCCTAATAAGTACTTCAAAATCAATGTAAACTCTCGAAATAAATCATAATACTTCATTAAAATCCCTAATAAGTACTTCAATTAATCAAGTTTCATAACTAACTAAGTTTTTCATCAATTCCTATTTTATCTAGTTTCATAAGCTATATTTCACACATCATCTGTGCATACAAACCAAGAAAACAGGATAATAGAGACAAAAGGTTTAAACAAAGCGTCCAAACAAACACAAAATACTCTTTGAACGAATGCAAGTCCCCAGTACCATATGCAAGTCACAGTCTCAAACGAATTACACACAAGAAACCGTTTCGCTGTGAATCATGATATGGTCATAAAGCAATAATTATCCATATATACAAAACATGCATACCATCACTCTAGGCCTTGTAGCAGCAAATTAGTCAAATTACACAACCCTAATCTTTCCCCAATTAAGAAATTGCATAAAACCCTATTTAATCCAGTTATCATAAACCTCGTTTCAACATCGTTGAAATAAAGAAAACGAAAGAAACAAAAAACTCACCGGAGTATCGAAAATGATACAACATTCCTGCTTATAAATGCGATTGGTCAAACACAGAAGCAGCAGCAGTGATAGAAGAAGCAGCAGCAGTGATAGAAGAAGCAGCAACAGCGGTGGCCATCGGAAGAAGCAGCATCGGTGGCCATCGGAAGAGAATATGGTGGGAAGGGGACGAAGAGTTGCCGCCAATTGAGTTGAAGGAAGCGATGGAGGAGAAGGGGGGTTAGGTCTTCATGCGATGAGCCGGGTGGGGAAAGGGTAGTCAGGTAAAAAAAGTTGTGTTCCACTTAGTTCTAGGGGGTAAAGGAGAACAAGCGTGTCCCACTCTTGTACTACCTAGTTCTACTTAGTTCTACATTAAGCCACACCAAACGTAGGACAAATCTGTTCTGTCATGTCCTGTCTCACCCTGTCCAGCGTACCAAACACACCCTGTAGGAACGATTAGTATTACCGATAATCAACTTTTTTATCCAAAGTATTTATATGACAATTTTGTTTTAAGAAATAGCAATATAATAACCGGTTGATGTGGCGAGTGATATGGAATCCGGTTAATACTTCAACAAATAATATTGTGTTGGATACCAAATCATTCGTCACATCAGTACGTTAACCGGTTGATGCTTCAACCGGTTACCAGAGTACTTAAATGTTTAAAACTTTACATCTTAGGTACCAAAATAAAAGTTTGAAATTATGTTACCCAAAATAAAATTCAAGTTAAAATATGTTACATTTTCATGCAATTTGCACTTGATTTTATTAGTTAAACTCTTAAATGTTAAATTTGTCATCATTAAGAGATATGTAAAATATTTAATTTTCAATTAAAAATATAACTAAAAAAGTTAAATACTGCATTTATTTCATCATCATCTGTTGTGTTTCTAAACTACTTTACTTTCTACAATTTAACAAACAAATTGGTAAACTTGGGAATCTTAAAACAATACAATAAAATTGATTTTATAGGACGTCAAATAATTTTTAAACTGTTTTAATATACTGTTTTATAAGACTTAGTTTATAGGTTAAAAAAAATAAAGTGTCATATCTAAAGGAGTTCTAATAAATTTATCTGACACCCACGGATGTCTTAACAAATTATTTTTAGAACACTTTTAATACAAAACGTCTTATTAGCTACTTTATACGATACTTTGGGAAATATTTTATAAACCCATTTTTTTACAAAACACTTTTTAAAATAATGTTTTATAAAATAATTAATATGATGTTTCTTGTAAAAATGTCCTAAAAGTCTTACGATGCTAAAAAAAGGTCTTATAGACCTATTACAATGCCTTTAAATAGAACGTTTTATTTATTAGTCCTATAAATTAAGTTTGTGGATGTATGAAAACGGGTTTTTTTGAACCTGACCTCGGGCCTTTCAAACCCGTTTGGGGTTAAAAAAGGGTTCAATCAGACTTAACCAGCCTTTCTTATACCTATTCTTGATCGATTTTTTGGGCCGGGTTTAAACTTGGGCCTACGCCTTTCGGCCCCTGAACTGGGCCTTGGGCTCAATAGACCCGGCTTGTTCGGGTTGTCTTTGGTATTGGGCTTTTTATGCATCTTTAAATATGGTTCAGTTTAAAGGTTGATGGATTGGGCTAAGCCCAATATGAAAACAGGCTTACAGGATCATTATGGGCTTATCTAATTTGGCCCATTAATTATACACAATAACCAACAAAACGACACCGTATAAAACAGCAGAAAAATCCCTTTCAAGTAAAAAATTTCTTCACGAACCACACTCTCAGGTGTCGAGGTTTCTTCTGAACAGACGAACAACATAACCAATATCGCAGAGTTTAATCTGTCTACTTCATAGCTTCAAGGTTTGAATTGGATAAATTATCGATATATTCGCATGTATTGTGTTATAATGAAAAAATTCGTTGTTATTATGGAATTATGTGTTGTTTTCGTCGATACTAGGGTTTGTATTCGATTTGTTTTTGCAAATTTTCCCTTTTTTTTAATGTTTTGTTGCTCATAAGTTAGAGGAAAGTTATGGTGATATGTTATTTATGGAACTTGCGTGGAGATGAATAGATTGCTCTTTGTTTTGGTTGTTGGTAAACGAATGATCGGATTGTTTTGCTATTGAAGGAGTAACAGAGGTGGATTTTAGTTATAAGTGGATTAGATGACTTCTGTTTCTTTTTCATTAGTTGGAGAAGAAACTGAAAGATTATGAGTTTTAGTTTTCATTTGAAGTGAATATTGGTACGATAATTAATATGACAACCAGCAGGTCTACCAATAGTACTTGCTCCTCTACAAAGTTGTTGGAATCAACATCCTTAGTCTTGTTAAATTGATGATAGTACTTATGTTGGGGTAGATACCCATAGAGGGCCTTGAAAGGGGTAATCTAGATGGCAAAATGTTAATTGGTATTATAGCAATGCTCTGCGAGCGCTAACCAGTCACTCCAAGTCTTTATGGTTTGTTGCTTGTTCCCTTCTAACCTTTTCTTTTACCTCTAAGTTTTATATGGATAGTGTGATTATCTCCATCAGTTGACTCTTGAAAATGTCGAAAGTGGCTCTATTATCAAATTCTCAAGTTGTAGACCCATCCTCTCTTCAATTTCATCAATTCTTTCTTGAATCTCATCTGTTGCCTTGTTCAACCTTGCAATAACCTCCTTGATATTTTTCGGATCTTTAGCAATCGTGGTTCTCTCACATTCTATTCTCTCATTGTCAAGGAAGGACTACACTGATACCAGTTGTTAACCATACAATTGAGGCCTTTTGTGTAAGGGGCCAAACTCTCATTGAAGAATTTCTGTATCAGGATTTCTCTGATGATTTACATGTCTTTGGTCTATTATATTTGTAGTAGGATTACATGTTCGGATTAAATTATAAGATTGCTGAAAGGACTTGTAAGCTGTAACCAACTTTCAGCAATAACCCTTTTAACTGAAATCCTCCATATTTCAGCATCTGACATGTTTCTTTACATCCATGTGCTAACTTCTAACATGTCTCCAAAGTAGTGAGTGGGTGAGTGGAATCCATGTTTATACTAGATGTTTTAGAGTCCAAAAGTTGATCCGGATGGATATGGTACAAGGGGATATAATCATATCCACAAGTCCAAACTTTGTGGACTTGTGGCGAAGAAGCTGGTTATGAATGTCATTTAAAGAATATTCCTCGCAAATAGGACAGGAAAAATTTAACAATGGACGATATTAGGTGGATGTAGAAGTTGTTTGATGGGATAGAGGTTAGGATTAGAAATGAGGATATGTGATGTCTGGTTGTGGCAACACTAGTTCAGGTAATAGTTTTTGGGCCTGTTACATGAGCATTTGAATATACTGTTTAAAAAATGATACTTGTAAGAAGAGTTGGCTGTTATGAGAGGTTGGCAAAGATTGACACTGGGTTGAGGTAGTGAAGCAAAATTTGCATGAGTGTAGTATGCCAAAGCTGTTAAACATAGATATGTGTGCATGTGAGGATGCTACTCATGTTCCCAAAACCTAGGATTAGGAATACGATCTGGTTGCAATAGTTATGCAACGATCCCATTTGATTGACTACTTCACTCTGGTTCTGTTGTCATCTTATGTATGGTCTGGTTCTACATGTCGACATCAACCCTAATGAACTTCATAGCAAGAGGAAATTATGTCGGTTTATTTTAAGTCCCTCTGTCTCGCAAAACACCATTTGGCTCCTTAATTAACTATTTTATCCTTTTTATTTATCCCTTTTCATTATTGATTCGGTATTTTTTCCTTTCTCTTTTTTCTATAAAGAGATTCCTTCCTTTTCTCACTTGCTACTCTTCTGACAAATTGATATCATCATATCAGTAAAAATACTCAATGACACAGACTTCATACAAGTATTTTAGCAAATGTAGCAAGTTATCTTGAAGCAGTCATATCATTGACATTATTTACAAGTTCAGAATAAATTGATGTGCGTTTTCTATAAACAAATTGTGATGCCCTTGTTGACATGCTATTATCTTTTATTCGGTCTCTTACTATTTAAGTGACAACAACTATATTGTCAGCTTTTAAACTTGTAGTTTTACTGAATGACATGTTCCGTATGCTCGTGCGCTTTTTTTCCTTTCCTTTAGGTCATATTAAATGGCAGGGAGAAGCCGTTATCCTCGTGAGGCATATGACAACCGGCGTGGGCATCTCCCAGGAGGGCCTCCATCTCTGGGCCATATGTCTCGACCTATGCCACCCCATCCTGCTATGTTGGAGGAAGAACTTGAAATGCAACATCATGAAATCCGCCGCCTTCTGGGTGAAAATAGGAGGTTAGCTGAAGATCGAATCGCTCTGCAGCAAGAGCTGGGTGCCGCCAGAGAGGAACTTAGGCGAATGAATATTGCAATTGCTGATATTCAAGCAGAACAAGAAATACATTCAAGGCAGCTTATCGAAAATGGTTTGAAACTGGAAGCTGATCTTCGTGCCACTGAACCTCTGAAAAATGAGGCTGCACAACTCCATGCTGAAGTCGAGAGGCTAAATTCTTTAAGGCACGATCTATCTGCGCAGGTTCAGATTCTCAAGAGAGACCTTGCAAAGCTGCAAGCTGATAACAAGCAACTTCCAGCTTTAAGAGCAGAGCATGAGGGACTTCACCAGGAGCTTATGCATGCTAGGTTTTTATATACCATCTATCTTGGAAGCTTAAATGCTAAATGCCTAAAGTCTTAACTAATAGAATTTGTTGAGCTAACATTGCCGTACCTTGTAGAGCTGCTATTGATTATGAGAGGAAAGGAGGTATGGAGCTGATGGAACAAAGACAGGCAATGGAGAAGAACTTGGTTTCTATGGCTCGTGAAGTCGAAAAGCTCCGTGCTGAACTTACAAATACTGATGTCAGACCATGGGGTGCTGGTATGTACCATTATATCGTCTTAGTTATGTTTATATTTACTAAAACTACTTGCTTCTTTTGCTGATATTTTGGCAGCCTACCTTACATCGTAATCAATACCCACTTGACCCTTTCTTTTTTTTACTTTTTATTTTTAGAAATGATGGAATAAGATCAATCCATCTGATTGGTTCTATAACTTCATATTTTCAATTTTAATACAAATCAGACATAGTCCAGAACATACATATTATATATATATATATATATATATATATATATATATATATATAGATAGATAGATAGATAGATAGATAGATAGAGAGGGAGAGGGAGAGAGTTTCAAATACAAACCATGGAAATCTTACAAACCATACATGCCAATCTTAACCGTCCATCTAGCCTAATGCATATATGGTTTTATAAATATCTAGATTGGTTTCTAATCTAAAGCAATGATCATAATGGATCCTATCATCTTCCATAAATATCTTGATCATAATGAAATGAACCCTGATCATCCTTCATAAATATCTCAATTGTTTCTTAATATAAACATTGATCAGGGTTTGTATTTGAAACTCCCTTTATATAACCTTGAGTCTACTGTCCAGCACATGAATGAGTACGCAGTGTTAAAATGTCACGTGCCTAAAAGTCTTTGGGTTTTTTTATGATAAGAACTTCCAACTTTGTTATGAGAAGATCCTCTCCTTTATCTGTGTATATGATAAAGATCTGGATATCATGCCACTGATCTTATTATTTTTCTTTTTAGTAAACTGATTCTTCAGTCGATGGCATGGTTTGTGCTATTGGGGATACTTCTATAATTCTATTTGCAACAGTTGGTGTCTCTAGGATTTAAAATGCTGTGGGGATCAGGGTCACCTTTGTATGAACAACTGAGCTGTTGGCGAAACTTTTTTGCAATTGTTGGTCGCTTTAGGATTTGAAATGCTCTGTGGATCAGGGTCACCCTTGTATGAACAACTGATCTGTTGTGCCGGAGTTGGATCGTTTTTCAGATTGTCCATTATTCTTTGCAGATGTCATTTACTTTCTACTATGTTTATTTGTTAAGAGAATGGGAAAGCAGCCTAAGCCTTTGAGTTTTGATGAAAGTGGAGGTCAATGTGTTGTGATTTAGACAAGGATTTGATGGCTAATGGGGGCAGAATGTGTCATATTTTGGTACTGAGCTCTTGATTTATTGGTTTGCCACCACAGTAATGCTCTAGCAATCAACTAATAATGTGAACTCAAGCTGATCAATGGAATAGCTAGCCTATCATGGTTATCTGTCTCGGTGCTAGCTAAAAGATTCTTCTGATATTTCTAGAGCCTTTTTTTACTTCTATTTACGATGTTCCAGTAGGTCTTACCTTTGCTGTTATGAGTTTGTGGCCATGTTCCTATTTGGAACAGAAACAATTACTACCGGATGTGGAACAGCATATTTTATCTTTTACTTCATCTCTAGGAGATTTGTCCGACTTTTTCAAGCTCATTGAGTTTTAATTTTGTCATTGTATCTGTTTCCACTTGTTTGAGTTTAATATCACCAGCTATCACATCGTAGAAAATTAAAGCTGATGTTATATATAGTACTTGGGAACACTAATATTTTCTCACGAATCTTTGTTACCTGGTTATTAAGGTGGGTCATATGGGATGAAATTTGGCAATTCAGATGCTCGTTTTCCTCCTGCTTATGGTGATGGATATGGCGTTCACCTGGTATTGCTTGCTATATAACATTCAAAACATATACTTAGCCATTTGATCATGCTCATGGTTTTTACTTGCAATTGCTGGATTGAAGTGTCTCCATTGTTCCTCAGGGTGCTGCTGAAAAGGGTCCACCGTATGGTTCAAGTTCTGCTACCAGGGCTGGGCTTGAGAAATCTCGCATGACTCGTCGTTGAAATGTGGATGGCTTGTGTTCAGCTTTGCAGAAAGGCATATCTTCTAAATTACCTTGGAAATCCATGGCTGAGAGGGTAGAAGTGTATGGTTCTCCTACGTTTGCATTCAAATAAGTAATCCCTTTATTTGAACTCATTGGCTATTTTGACCAAATGCGTTAGGAGTATTGGGTTGCTTTACTCAACTTATGGAGATGACAATCCTCTTGTGTGTCATGATTATAAATCCAGTATTAAGTTACCATGACTTAGATTTTCGAGGCTTTTTGTATTGTCAGCATATGGTTTCATTTTCTTGCTCTTTTATTTATTTTGACCAGCATATGCTTTAACCTATATTATCACATCCTTAAAGCTTACTGGAACAGCGATGCTTTTTTGAAAGGGCTATTGGCAACCTGAAGGCACCACTAGTCATGTGGTCTAGGCCCACCGCTACACAGTCCTAGAATCGACAACTCCCTCCCTGTGGGAGGTTGGCTTGGCCACAAGGGTTTTGCACCCAACGGTAATCGAACCTAGGAATAATAGGAACTGTTCTTATTGATAAAGGAGATTGCCACCGAGCTAAGCACTTGTGGTTGTGGTGCTTCATTACTACTATTGAATCTACCATTTTTTTCCCTAACCGGAGAATGGAAATTGGAAGTACCAGTTGATGGATTGGGGTTGAAAACCAGTTGGAGAATTCTATTGACCCAAGACCGCTATGTAGACCAGAATGTGTTTTAGTACCGAGCTTTTATGTTGCAGGCTCTGGAAGAAAAGGTTCATTATAAGTTGGAGAGTGTAGTATCATAGGTTGTAGAATTTAGACGACTTTTTACCAAAAACACAGGTTTCCGCATAATATATATATATATATATATATATATATATATATATATATATATAATGGCCATAGCAGCTTGCAGATCTTAGGATTTCATATACCCTTTTTTAATCTCAACAGATAATGTGCATTGTGTCCCTATACAATCTTCCTTTTATCAAAGCTGTTTAGGGTACTGGTCTAGAGGGAAGATGGAGTCAGTTACACAGAAGCATTTGGCATGCATTGGTTCCCAAGGACGACGATGACTTGGAGCTCTCAGAGATTATCACTGTCCACTGATGTATCTTTTAAGTTTTATGATGGATTCACTTTTGTTTATTCATATGAGATATTTCTTTCAAAGAGATATGGGGTGAACTCTGTCTTTTTGACAGATGCGGTGCTATCTAGGATGGCTGATGAGCCTGGGCACAAGGGATTTATAGTCTGGTAGGCATCTCTTTACTAAAGCTTGAGTATATATCTACATTTTGTTAGTAGCATTTTTAGAGCACTAGGGTCTTGAGATGACATTTGAGTCGGAGGCTCATGACAATTGTTGTCAGCATAACACAATTGTCAAAGATGACCTGAAGTCACATGAGACCTTAAGTCCGAAGTTCATGGAAGTAGAGCTAATCCATGCCAATAAGCCTCCGTTTTGCATATCTTAGCTCGCAGCCGGTCAATGTCAATCTGGAGAAGAAACATGTTCCAAACATGGTTATGCTTGGTAGGATGCAAGCTCTTGGCTCTCCGTGTTTTTGATGTACACAAGTTCATGCTACAATGAGTCGCTTTTGGGTTTTCATGTATGGATGTATAATGAGTGTCGACAACCGGAGAGGGTGATTGAGGTGTATGTCTCCAGTAAAGTCTTTATTGGCTTGATGAGCTTTGTTGCTTTCTCGGTTTGTAGTGGAGAAACTATTGAGTTCAAATGGAGAGCTTTTGCAAGACTGCCTCAAGAATATGAAGAGTTACTATCGTTCATGAAGAGTTTGACATCTCCTATTGATCTATCTGCAGCCATTTAGACAACGGTTGTGCAGTCTCCGTGCGTTTTTTGTGTTGCCGCGATCTTCTGCTTCTTATTTCATCATCTAATAATACTGTAATATGGTTCAGTAGTCAGACATCCTTGCCACCATCCGATCCAAGACAAGTTGCTCATTTTGCATTGTCTCATTGTCTGGCTAGCTCGAAGGATGAATGACATGCCATTTGACGTGGGGCTGATCTCTCGTAAGTACTTTATGATAGGCAAGTTTTCTGTCTCAGTTTTGTGGGTAAAATTGGTTCCTTAAATTTTTATGAATATATATTGAGCTACAGATACATATTTACTTGATGTACTTAGATTAATGTTGATAATAGGTATTTCTTATTTTAGAACTCAGGGACTGTTTGTTAGCAGCTTAACAAGCACAATGGGATTCACAGCTTATTTGGTCAGCTATACATGACTGTTTAGTTAGTGGCTTATGATATAGAAAGTGACTTATTTAGTAAACTTCTAGAGGGGAGCTTTATGCAGAAAGCCAAGTTTTTTCCAAACCCGTCATTCCCAATTAAAAAACATCCTTCTTCCATCTACGGAAAAAACCCTCCCAAACAAAAACTTTCCCCATCTATACAAACAGATTAATCCACACAGACAACTTTATCCATACAGGACTTAATCGAAAACCAACCAAACAGCCCCTGACCTATAGCTATACGTGTCTTTCTGGAAAGATAATATGTACGTTTTGGGGTAGATTTTGAGGTCCAGTGTGCTATTTACTAAATTTTTCTTGCATATTAGTAGAAATGTTTTTTACCCTATTTTACTATATGATTATTGTTATTCAACTCCATTCTCTTCACCCATACTGCTTCGTTTCTCTCTGGGTGTCAGGGTTTCTCTAATGTGGAAATAGATTTTCAACTCATAGTATACAGTGTATGCCTATGCTGAGCAGATTTTCACCTCTCTACTTTATGTCATCTGAACTTTGATCTGGTCTTCAGGTTTGTACTGAGCCTAGATAGATCCTATTAGCCTTGGAATGGGATGTTGGCAAAGAGAGCAGTGATGGAGATGCAATTACGTATATTGTTTGCGCATGCTTTCGGTTTCACATGTTAATTTGGACGTCCCTTAGGATTATCAACAAAATTATATACTGAATTGATCTAAGGTGTCCTTTTTTTATGGCAAGCGTGCCATTGCTGCAAACTGACAAAGATTTCACCCCTTAAGCAGTTCTACCATAAGAGCAGGCATAAAGGATCCAGTAAGTTCTGGGCTTCTGTGATTCTTGTTCATCTTGAGGAGATTCAACAGCTTCATCGTTAGTGCATGAGATTTCACATTGGATATGCGGACACTAGGATATTGAAACGAGATTATTAGGGTGCGTGTGGTACGCAGACTGGAGGGGATGGGCGAGAGTGAGGTAGTTGGGTGAAAGAATTGTGCAAAGTTTTCGGGTTTTAATTTGACATGGGTATTACCAATCTTGTCCTATCTCCCTGATTTTGGTCCCACCAATTTTTGTTCCACCTATTTTGGTAGAACAAAAACCTGAGTTTTTTTTTCTTTCTGATAGCACGACAACGCCACTTCTTGGATCGTTCTGTAGTAGGTTTCTTGCTTTGGATTGGACCTGAGTTATTTATTGTATTCCCTGTGGATAAAGTTTAGATACCTCGGGCTTATGGTTATGGTTTTCGTATGCGTTACATGAAACATATTATGGAGGTTGAAGGAAGAACATGCCTTGGCCCCCGAGATTGAAGAGATCGAATTCCTCCGCGGAACACACGAAACAAAGATATGAACTGGGAAATAATAATGGAAAAGAGATGTTTTCAATTATGGAATACAAGACATCTTTAGGTTCTTGTTCTGTTTTATCTTCATGGAAAGATGGTAAATCAAGCTGGATTAACCCATTAACTAGGACTAGGGCTATTTTTGATTCTTTCAGCAAGACAGAGGGACTATTGATTTTCATATGGCCATAGGTAATTTGTCGAGTTTAAGCCACCCGTTATATGTTTAGGGTTTAGGGTATAGTGCTTAGAGTTACTTTGTATGCTTCTGGAATCAATCTTGGGAAGGACTTGCTTCTTCAATGAAGAATTTTTTTAGTTTCTGTTTAAGTATGTATCCCTCTTTTGCCAACGAGTTACTCTGAGAACTAATTTATGTCATAATTTGGAAGTTCCCGTAGAAATTGTAGTGTCTATGGAGGGGTTGAACAACATTAGGCATGAAACTAGTTTTTGATTCCAATCATGATTCAAAAGCCACCGAAGAACTTTAGTGTCTGTGTTACTTTATGATCCATTATTGATGAACTTTGCACTAGGCTCGCAATCCAGTTTTTTTTATTTGTTTATTTCAAATTTTATTCGTATTTGTACTTTGGTGGGACATTGGAGATTTTCAAACAGTTTTCATATATTGCAAGATGCTATTAACTATTATAACTTAAAAGCATTTTGTTCAAAACTACGTTCCCTCATGATATATCTTTTTTATGTTTTGTAGATGATCGTGGTTCTGGATGCTGGAAATACATTTTCTAATGGTTTGGAAGAGCAAGTTTGATTTTATATTTGATGCAGCGAAATAGGTAAGGTCCTAAACCTGCTACTACAATCAACTAAAGAAACCTTTAGGAGAAAGTTAAATGCATCTAAAGGTGGTCTTCAATATGGTTATATCTCATTTAAAACTAACGGAATTTGGCTTTCTGTATGAAGCTCCCTCCTAAAAGCTTTATCGAATAATCCACTACCAAACAGTCATGTATAATTGACCGAATAAGCTGCGAGTGCCATTGGAGGTGCATTTGATACGTGGACAACACTGGACAGGACTTGTATGGACAGGATCACAGGACTGAATGGGTGAACGAATTGTGGAAGGTTTTCGGGTTTTAATTTGACACGAGTAGTTTCGTCATTTGCCAATCTTGTCCCATCTTCTTAATTCTTGTTCCACCTATTTTGGTTGTCCCACCCGTCCTGTCCTGTCCCGGTCTAATGTCGCGCCAAAAATGGACGATAGGTGTCCTGTCTCACGTATCAAACGCACCCTGAAAGAACCCCGTTGGTGCCCGTTATTGCATGGTGACATTCTGCACGGTTGAATGCTGGGTTTTTTTCATTGTATAAGTGAATATATGCGTTATGGAGTTCCCCAAAGATTGCGACTGAATTTGTAGTTTCTTGGAGGTTCCTTTGGTCAAATGAGTTCATAATTTCATGTTCTTCTTTCTTTGTGCTTGTACATGAGTTTTCATATCAGTTTTGTATTCCCTAGTTGTTCATCGATCTCGAGTGTTTGCAATTATGATTTGTGATATAATTTGACATTCCGTCATGCATGATATGAGTTTTTTTAGTAACGTAAAGGTTTTGCCAGGTGGAAAAAGTTTGTCAAGCGGATGCCTCCCTCCTGTTCTGCTGATTTATTGATCTTTGGACCTCGTTCATGATCCAGAAACGAGTTGTATGAAAAACGATGCAATCGATCTTGGACTGTATTTCTGATCCAGAAACGAACTGTACGGAAAACAATGCAATCGATCCTGGACCGTATTCGTGATCCAGAAAACAACCATAAGAATAACAAATATGATGAAATCAATTTGGGACTCTTGCCCAGGAAAACGACGATGGAAAAACGTTGCAATCTGTCTGGGATCGCAGAATGTGTCCGAAGTTTATATGTGGAGTTTGATAAGTTGGAAATGTGTTCAAAAGCGGCCTTTCTGATCAAGTTCAGAATATGACCAATTTTAGTTAAGGTTCTGAGGGATGTAATGGAAATCTCATCTTTCCGGGTTCTAATCTAGGTGCTGGTAAAGCCCTTATGGCCATGGAGATTCACCTATACGAGAATTGAGGGCATTTGTGGTTGGCTGGGGATTAGTCGGTGTGCATAAGCCAATACCAGCCAGTTCAAACTACCCAAGGTTTGTTGCTAGTTAGCATCGCCAACAACCATGCTATTTTAGAAAGCTTCAACAGTTGTGCTATTCTCTCCTCTCGCATCATTTCTGCATCAGATAATGAGCCCCAACTCGGCGGCTTCTATTAGGAAGGTGGCGCAAAGGATGCCAACTCAAAAGCGGGTCTCAATCTTGGCTCAGGAACTCCCGGATCCTTCTTTCCGCTTTAGGTAACGCGGTCGGCTTGAAATGAGCCTCTACTTCTATTACAGAACTTTCCTTATGGGGATGATCTATACTACTAACTATATATAACTCACTCTATTCCTTTGTAATGAAGGAATTACGTTGACCTTAACTTGACAGATTCATCCAATTGAACCCAAACTCAAAGGAGGACCACAAGCTTGGGTCCCCGGGTATGCGTTAGCGCCCTTGACAAGCACTCCAGAACCCACCAACGCTCGTGAAAACCCTTTTAAAAAAATCAAATACCTAAAAAATATTAAATCAAATATAGTTTGACAAAATACATTATTGAAAATCTCTTGTCAAGACGATCAAAATAACAGCAATATCGAATACCTAAAAAAATTATAAAAGTCATGATATATTCATCGTCTCATTTTTTTAACGAATTCATTTTTTGTTTATGTCATCATCTTTCGTTTATGAAAGGCTGAATAATGTAAATTTTGGGACCATGTTACGTTTAACAGGTAAAGAATGGTCATCGTCATGACAAATGAACAACTAACGTATAATAAAATGTTGTGTGATAATTGATGGGTTTATGGGAGAAGTTTGTATAAGACGATGAATGTTAAATTTTAAATGATAAAAGGGCTTTTCAAATGGTTATTGTATTGGAGAAGGTTTCTAAGAACAAGTTTTTGTTAAAATAAGTTGGTGGAAAGCTGACGTGGTAAAAGTAAAAAGTCTTTTTGAAGACTTATGCATTGTGGATTCTCTTAACTATAGAAGCGAAGAAAGACTTATGCATTGTGGATTCTCTAACTATAGAAGCGAAGTCGGGTTTTTCATAAGCTTAGGTGACTGGAAAAAACTTTCAAAAAAGCTTCATTGTGGATGCTCACTTTAAATAATCAAAGGCGAAAACAAAACCGACAATTACTTTAAATGCATATTAATTTTAATCCGTGCATATTAGTGACGTAGAGTCTCTACGTCCTTGAGCTCAAGCATCGATAATACGAAAAATATTCGAGCTCGTGCCTACTTTGAAAAAGTTATTGAAATTCGAGCCTGGTATCATTTTCTCTTAGTTGAGCTCGAATAAGCTACTACTCGGCTCGGCTCGCTTACGAGATGCACAAAAGAACCAAGTTTTGTTAGGGGATTGGTTAGGATTAGTCTTTCACTGGGTCTTGGATCAAGAATGGTCGCACATTTTTTGACCTCAATGGTTAGTTATAAACCGGCCTGGACACGGATCGGTTGCTTAAAGAACGTTTGTGTTTTTCAAAAGTTTCCAGAAAACAAGAGCAAAATAGATGAATGTTTGAATCTTGTTATCTATTCACGTGTGCATAATCTTCTAACCAACCAAGGTTTCTTATCACCACAATGAAAAAAACTAAAAAAGACTTGGAATCACATTGAAGCATAGATGATTTTGTAACAAGAAGCTTGAGTGATCTTCTCCATTTAGGTACTCTCCACTTCACCGTCATTAAACATTTGATAACGTTAGAGAATTGAATGTCGAAAAGAATTGTAAAGGAGGAGAGAAAAAAAGCCATTTTTTAGTGTTTGTTTTTCTATGTTCCAAGTTACAATTAAGTTTCTATTTTTCCTTTATTGTTCTTAATAATAGGATGAGGTTGCAAATGGGTGATTTAAGTGTTGTCATCATGTGGGATTCGCTCTTTTTTTTTGACAGATTTGGTGAATCAAAATTTCTATACTTGTACATTGGATTTTATTTTTTAAGAAATTTAATATAGATTCTACTATTTGGTGTAATAATTCGTTCCATATGAATGGGAGGTAAGATTCGTTAACTCCTTATAAGTCTTGAGTAATGGGCTATTAATACCTTTGATCGTGGTTTTAAATTGGACTCGAAGTTATTGGACTAATGCGTGCTTTGGGCTTTAGGGCTGTTACAAATGGTATCAGAACTTATCTTTATACCATGGGAATGATGGGCAAACCTCATTGGGTATTATGAGTCCTCGAGAGGGGGTGTTTGTAACATCTTAGGCGGATCCCACGTTACCGATGATAAAGGAGAAAGATTATGGGTAAGTCTGACGAGGATGTTAGAAGCTTAAGTGGAGGAGTTTGTAACAACTCGTCCCACATAAATGGAAGGTGAGAATTGTTAACCCTCTACGAATGTCAATTAATGAGCTACCAATAATTTTTCACTTTTAAGTTGGTCGTTGCTTTGGGTTTTTGAGATGGTGCACTTGGTACATGGATTTTAGATGTAAAAATGATGAATGGAATTAGCTTCCAACAGTTCATCGAATTAGAGATTCGTGCGCGGGAAAAATATTCGCACCAATTTCAAGGTTTTCCACTCAAATTTTGATATGTCGAATTTCATCGAATTCGAAATTCTCTCGTAAAATGAAGTTGCCAATTGAAGAAATTGGATATAGATCATGAACATTTCCGATGCTGGCCTTCAATCGAGAGTTCTTCCTGTATGATCCAAAAAATCCGATAAATAACCGATAGATATATTCGAGTTTGGCATGATGTGATCAAGTGTGGGAAATTGGGATCATCGATCTAAATTATCCCGGTGATTTCTTATGTTTTACACATCGCGTATCAACAATTCCGATATCTTCATGTGCATTCTGCAAACTTGGTAAATCAAAACTCACTGTCTATTGCTCTGATCTGCAAAATCAGCAACTACATTACTGCAAATTTGCTTGTTCGTAATGGTAGCAAATTTGCAGATAATATGGTACATTGATCTGATCTGC